ATCAGGTTATGAACTGCATCAATAAAATAAAAATGAATGATGGAGCTAAACTTGCAGAACAATGGGAAGAGTTCAAGCAGCGAATAAAAATAAAAGCTATTGATCGTTCTTGCGCATTCAGTTATGAAAGGAAAAAGAAAGAAAAAGAACTCCGAAAGACTTTGGAAAGACTAATAGACTTGGAGTGCAAACAACCGGGAGAGTATAAAATTGACATACGCAATATTAAGCAGAAACTTGCACTGCATGACGAGGAACGCTACCGCGGTGCACTCGTCCGTGCTAGGGCTGAGGCTTTAGCGGCTGGAGAGACGCCAACCAAAAGAGCGTTAGGGGTGGACAAAACGAACGCTCGACGGAATCATATCGAAAAAATAGAGAAGGATGGTCACGAAGTAACAGATAAGGACAGCATTTTATCCGTATTTTCAAGTGATTTTGACAACCTTTTTGCGTGTAGACAGGCAAACCTAGAAAGATTTAAAGACGAATATTTAGGACGCATGCCGCAAGTGAGTGAGGAAGTGAAAAACGCTTTGGAATTATCTATATCTGCATCTGAAGTTGAACAGGCGATTGATAAGTTAAATCCTTTGAAATCTCCAGGACCAGATGGTCTTTGTGCCAAGTGGTACAAATGTTTTAGAAGCGAATTGTCTTCAATACTTGCGGGCGTTTTTAATGAGGCATATGAGGAAAAGAAATTACCACCATCTTTTGGTGAATCGCGTACCGTTCTGATTCCGAAAACAGACGAGGTTGAAAAGCTCAGTCACGTCACAGCGTACAGGCCAATCGCACTGACAAACGTAGACTACAAAATATTAATGAAAATTTTGGCGGCCAGACTTCAGTCAGTAATAAAAGATATCGTCGGTCCACACCAAACGTGTGGAATAAAAGGTCGGTCCATAGTTACAAACGTTCACAAAATGCGATCCGTGCTCGAATGTGTTGACACCTGTCATGCTCGTGTGGCCATACTCCAGCTGGATCTGGAGAAAGCGTTTGATTGCGTTTCCCACGCTCTTTTGTTTGCAGTATTGAAGCACAATGATGTTGGTAAGATAATTATTGACGGAGTAGCCATGGCATATCGGAACGGTAGTACGAGACTAATTATCAACAAGACATTGGGCCCCCCCCATAAGAATCGAGCGCTCAGTGCGTCAAGGTTGCCCTGTTAGTCCACTTTTGTTTTGCATCTATATTGAAACTTTATGTCAGTCGATATTGCAGAATGACATCATTAATGGATTTAGAGTAAAATCATCAGAGGTCAAATTACTCACATACGCTGATGATGTTGCGATTTGTAGCACTTCCTATGACGGTATTGAAGAATCATTCAGAGTTTCTACATCTTTCGCCGAAGTTACAGGAAGTCATATAAACTGGGGTAAATGCCTCGGCTTCTGGCATGGATATTGGCCTTCAACACCAGAATTTTTCGCAGCCATTAAATGGACAAGAACGCCAGTTAAATATCTCGGAGTACCACTCGAGTCATACAAAAGTACTGATGAATATTGGACACAGCAAACGAAAGAAATTAAAGAGAAAGCGAATAGGTGGAATGCAACCTATCTGTCCATGTTTGCTAGGGCTACTGCATGCAACTGGTTTTTTGTGTCTAAGCTGTGGTATGTGATGCAAGTGCTGTACTGTTCACGGGTCAATGTGCAAAAATTACATCGGGTGTTTGCAGTATTTGTGTGGGGTTCTAACTGGGAAAGGTGCAGTCGCACGAATTTGTTCGGACGGGTGAAGTGTGGAGGCCTTGGGCTAGGACATCTGTTTATCAAGCAGTTAGTAAATAGGTTTTTATTTTATCGCGAGGCAAGAGATTCTTTCCTATTAACAGTGTGTCAAACAAAACTAAGTAGACTGTTGCCCGAGTTTGTTGTGACCACTCATGTTTCCACAGGGGCTGTGCAAGGATACATGAAGGAAGTTGTGGCCAGCGTGCGGTTTTTGTGTGTTCGGTTTTCAACTGACTACCTGTGGTCTGTTGGAAAGAAAAAACTGTACAAAGATTTATGTGACACGATGCTCCCCATCCCACTGTACAGAGCGCTATATACAGCACGCAAGGGTCAGAATGTACTTAAACGAGTGAAAAAAATGCCAGCAGCTCCAAGTGCGAAAACGTTCTTTTTCAAATTACACACTGGAACACTTCCTGTAAGAACCTTCCTAGAGGAGCGGGGGTTTTATATGCCTTGGGGATCTCACTGTGTAATCTGTAAGAAACCGGAAACTATTGACAATGTTTTTCTGCACTGTTGGGAAGGAGTTTATTTTTGGGACGTATTACAAAGGACAATCAAAAAAGAGTTCCCGTTAGACCCTCACGGGATCAGGTATTTGGCAATAGAGAATGAGGATGGATTACCTTTCAATTTTATCATGATGACTGCCTTGTACAGTATATGGCGCTCTAGAATGGCTGGATTTCATTGTGACCCAGACAGAAGACCAGCAAGAGAGTATTTCAAAGAAAGCATCTCAAGATTACTCGAGGTAGTAAGAACAGACGAATGTGTACCTTCATGGGTAGAAAGGGTAGAAGCCCTACTGACCATGAAGGAATTCTAGGACGTGATGTGTTATAGTAATGCTTGACGGGCTTAGTTATTTTCAAGTTTATTGTATTGTTCGTTGTGAATTGTAATATATTTATCTTAGCAACCCGTTTGTGATGTTGAACCGCAAATAAAGAAAAAAAAGAGTAAACACGTCGAGGTGTAAGCCGTAGGTTTTGAATGGTTGTTTGTGCTCTTGTTGCGTACTTGTTAGCGTATACGCTAGTGTACTTGTTGCGTACTATTTGTGTACTATGTGACCATGTGTGCATGTGTAGCTATATAGATTGCATCAGCACATAATAGGCTTTCGGTGTCCGTAAGTGGTCTTGAATGGGTTGATGCGTAAAATATACGCAAGGGAGCCGTGATAGTGGGTAATAACAACAAACGTTGCGGCAGTCAACTTTTTTTTTTAACTTTGTTCAATCCCTCCAGATGGCGCCACCTACCACCTACTTCATTGCTATGACGCTCTCACACCTCCAGCCATTTATATATCGTTGAACATCTATCTATCAAAGCTGCACTACGGATTCGGAATGGTTTCGCTGCGATCGAGTGTACGGTATGGAGGCACATCCCGTGACCTGCGGACCCGTAAGCGCGTGGATAACGTCGCTACACTATGTGAATCTGCGAGAAATAAATACAGCAAGCCTAGCATGCACTCTTCAAGTGAGGGCTCTGCAGAAACCGTGTCTTTCGGAGTGAACGTGGCTTCGCTGACCGAACGAAACGTACTTGCTCCATCGTTCTCTTTCGCGATGTGTTCACCGCCACAGGTTCGTCTGCTTGTTTTTATAATAATTTCGTTCATTATCAAGCTCAGCGGGACCGTTTTTTGTAACTTTCAGTGCCGTGTACTCCTTACCAGTCGAGAATCGTTGCATTTGCTAAGCCTACTCGCTTCGCCGGGGGGCAGCCATGTTGATTTTCATAAGGAGGAACGTGTTTCTCCGTGGACGAGGCAGCAACGTTTCTCTATTTGAAGACGAACATTGGGGACATAGCCGTTCCTCCCTAAATGGAGAGTACGTCACTCCATTTTTTTAAGAGTGTTTGTGAAGGCGACGCCGTTTTCCTGACGAAGACAAGTCAACTTGCCGAAACTATAATCCCAGCGAAGTTTTTTCTCAAAATAGTCCGTGCCCCTGAACTGCAGTTTTGTTTTGTGCTCAAGTTCTGTAAGAAAACTACGCTCACCGTCATAACAAACATGATTGAGTCAAATACGACGTGTTTTACTCGCGATTGCTGATAGTTTTCGCATTGGTCAGAATATTCCTGGTTCAACGTTTGCTAAATATACCTGTATGTCTGTTGTAAACAAAAGCTTATTTCATAAACCGACACACTCACACTACGTTTGTCTGTTTTTATACAAAACGGGAAATAAAAATTTCAATTTATTTGTGCCGAGCAAGTTTTGTCTTACTGAAAAACTAGTCAGCTTAACTTTCGTCTCTTCGGGACACACGAAAGAAATTTCAAAATAAAAGAACACATTTTTATGGGTGCATTACCTGAAAAAAGGAACGAGCACATTCCGCTTGCATGCGAAACGGGAAGGAGGGCTTACCCGGTAACGCTCCTTTTTCAAATTTTTCACCATTTCCTTCTATTTGGGGACCTCACAAGTGATGTCATGAAATAATTTTTCAATTCGTGTATTTTTATTAGCAGGATGCCCGGCAACCGCCAGTGGTAAAAGTGGCGCTGCTGCTGACGAGAGCGAATACATGGGAGGCATAGGGAGTTTCTACCCCCTGGTAAAAATATGCTGTTTTTTAGCAAATACTTGCGTTTACAAACTGTTTACTAACTTTCTTAAGCTACTGCACAACTACGCCTAGATGTAGCGCTTATTCATCGCTATCAGAACCTTATCGATCGCACTTGCACCCCAAAGCACTTCTTGTGCGTCTGCCCTCAACATAGTACAGAAACAAAAGAGCAACAGAACAAGAAAAAGAAAACAATGAGCAGCTTTTTATTGAATTCTGTGAAGCAACAAGCACCGGGAAAAGTGATTTTGGGGCCACACCATCATCATCGCCATTATTTCAAAGCCCTGAATAAGTTATTGCAGGAGACATAACTAAAAAACAAACGAAAGAGACTGTTATTAACTTTTGGTTTCAAGGCTTTGATTTATCACCACCTTCTCCGTACTCTCATTACGAGCCTGTTTTTTTAAGGCTGAGAGATGATCAGAAACTTGATACAGACGGATCTGTCAACTTTTCTATTATGATAAACCTCTATCTCTCGCAATTTCTGTGTCACCGGGACTATACCAGCGGGAACGGTGAAAATAAGTGCTCGCAGAGCCGTGAGGGGCGCAGCACGTTTTTTCGCGTTCTGCCAAATTCAAAGTGTTAGGAGAGACGAACTTATCAATATCCAACTCACCTGCGGCAGAGAGAGCCGAGATCATCAAAAGAAAAGATGCGTGAAGGTGCAATAGCTTCATTGTTGCAGCAAACAAAACCACGGTGGTGGCGGTTTACTGGCGTCACTGCCAAAAGCACTGGCCTGATGGTCTAGTCTCCTAAAGTGAAGCGTCGCAACAGGCTGCGTGAATTATTTTTAATTTAGTGTCCGGCTTAGCGGTAGCAACACTAACGACTCGGGACTGGTCCGAACGCGCAGGCTGACCGTGGACGCCCAGAGCATGGCTCTTTTATAAGCCTGTTGGCATTACTTTCAGAAAAAAAAAGTTCCTCCAGACGCGGAACATTTCAGCAACGCAAGCTGAGATTGCGTGCCGTGGTGCAACAGACGGAGTTCCTGGGCCAAGTGTGACAGTGTCCATATCGTGGGTGATAACATTTAAGCCGCGAAGACGAGTGGACAAATCAGAGATCCCGCACAAGAAGCTGCGATATTTAGTAAAGTGTTCTGACGTCTGTCTTAAGATTTATGCTACTTTTGAGTTGGAAAGGGCACTTTCTCATTTCGTAAGGAGGGTGCAAAGGCGGGCAGTATACGGTAATATCGAAATAGGAAATTTCCAGCCACTTTCGAGTGGTAAGAAAGGTTTATTGTAGCCCCGTGTATGGGAATAATGAAATTTAAATGTGAAACGTGGCATTCAGGACACATTCTATACAGATAGAACTCTTATCATATATGATGTTATTGAATACAGGTGATGCAGGAATTAAGGCCCGTAAAGAAGGTATAGGGCTCATGGGCCATATAGGAGGTATAGGGTATATGGGCCATACAGGAGTTGTAGGGTTTCTGGGTAATATGATAGGGGTTCGATGAATTCTCCGGTTCCTACTGAAAATCATAATGCAGTGCAAAAAGATTGATTGATATGTGGGGTTTAACGTCCCAAAACCACTATATGATTATGAGAGACGCCATAGTGGAGGGCTCCGGAAATTTCGACCACCTGGGGTTCTTTAACGTGCACCCAAATCTGAGCACACGGGCCTACAACATTTCCGCCTCCATCGGAAATGCAGCCGCCGCAGCCGGGATTTGAACCCGCGACCTGCGGGTCAGCAGCCGAGTGCCTTAGCCACTAGACCACCGCGGCGGGGCGCAGTGCAAAAAGAGACCCGACACACAGAACCACACACCATATGACTTTAAGCAAGCATCAAGTAGACCAAGAACAAGTCTTTCTTTAGAACATCCCCGGTTCCTATGGGCATGTAGCAAGGATCATAATTAACGTGTGACTGAGCATAGTAATGAGGCAATGTCAGTTTTAGAAGTGGAAAATTATAAATATGCGGCAATAGAAAACTTAAGGGTGCTTCAAAAGTGCAGAAAACTTAATGGGTAGAACAAAGTGTTGTATGTAGTTTAGTGTCGTGACATTAGAGAAAACCAAGAAGACAAATATTTTTGCATCCTTGTCATTTATTTATATCAATTAACACTTTGCGAAGAAATGTTTCATTTTTCTCAGCCAGCCAGGTGCATTCATATCTGCTGGCTGCTTTGCATATATTTCAAAGCCATCTGCACAATAATGGGCAAATACATTAAGAACCTATTACCTATTTTTCTTATTAGTTTACCTATAGGTTAATATTGCAAGCCATTACGTCAAGCAAAAGACCATAAAGGGGTACTGACACAAAATTTCGTGGCTGAGGTAGCCTGCAAGATGGATACCCGTTAACATGCATATATCTACAAAATATGATGAACAATGATAGCTTAGACTGCAATTTATACGAATATTGAAGTTTGTGTGCCAGATACAGTGCTATACGCCACACCTCGCACCACTGCATCACTGGGAGTGGCCTGAAGCTGAGTCACAACTTCCAAGGCGTCACCACCGTGGCCGAGGTCAGAGCTAGCATAGCTATATTATTGACATCATAGTCGTTGTTACCCTTTGGCCCCACTTGTGCTAGCAGGCTACTATTCAATGACTGCTGTGTCCATGCCTAATGTGAACGTGTGGAACGTGAGGGAAATGACAATGATTAAGTGGACCGCAACGACATTGTGCAGCAGCAAATGATTGTGAACCCACAATGCAGCCAGCAGGAAAGTGCGTCAGTGTTCTGTGTGTAAGGGGGAAGAAGAAAAATATGCCGTAGTGCGCCATCTCTTTAGCCATAAGCGCCGACCGCAAGATGTTTGCCCGAGCGCAGGGATTCCTGTGTCGGTTGTCGCCGCCAGCTTTCACTATAGATAGACCTGCTAGACAAGTGCTACTTACGCCAGGAAACCCGTTTATTATGTACTACTTTGCATTCTAGCTGGCACTTGTTCCACCTGGTGGCTCGTGTTCTTGGAGCTGTGCCAAACTGAAATTAGTCTGCAATAAACAGACAGCAATGGTTCATCTGTCCCATGCTGCAGAAAGCAATCCGCTGACTGAATTGTGACTAATAGGCCACCAGCCACGTGAAAATGCAAGACAAAAATTTGTGTCAGTAACTCATTAAGCAGTACTCACAAGCCACAACCTTGAAATTTCTCGCTGTCAGGGCCCTGTTCAGGGGCACGTGTTTGTCCTTTTGATGCGGGAAACCCCAAAATAGGATTACAGGGGTGCAACAGCCGAAATATAATTAGGAGCAATTTTTGGAGCAACAAAATGCTGTTTTTCGAGCACTAAATTCCAAGTTCGGAGCAGGTTACGAGAAAAAAGCTTGCACTTTTATCATGAAAAACAAAAACTGGAGCAGTATCAAAAAAGGCTCACATTTAGAAAAAAAAATTACGCAAAAACCGTTCAACGTCACCTAAATTGTGCAGTGTGAGCATGAGCACTGCTATTTCAATGAAGGTGGTATTTTGAACCACCCCACTGGTGAACCAATGATAAAGTCCGTATTCGCATTTGCTGCACCTATCAAATCATTTGACAGACTCTGAGAATTTAAATATGAATCTGCCAAGCTCATGACCTTGAACTTTAGGAGATTCGTGAAACCAAGGAGTAGGGGTTGCAAAAAAAAAAAAAAAACTGGCGCACAATTTAGTTTGTTTCTGTAAGAAGCATAAATATCACACAATGCTTAAAATGAATGCCAGTAGCGTAATCAGTGGAAGTAAATATACCGGTACTCAGAATTGTACGGTGTACCAACACATGAGTAACAGAGCAAAATGTGCAGCGCCCCACTAACGCTAACGGCCTCTTGTAAATCTTAATACGCTTTTTTGCGGTGCACCAGTGTTGTGCGGTGAAGGTTGCTCAAGCAGCTTTAGAACGAAAGTCAAGACATTTTCTCATCGCTGCACCCCCCCCCCCTCCCCCCTTTTTTTCCACCGTGGGGTTAGTTGCGGCGTCGGCTCCTTTGCAAGGCGCATTGGACCAGATAAAGTAACAACGGCGCGTGCCCGTCGGCCCGGCGACGGTACCGGATATCTATCGCCAGGACCTTGGCGAGGACGACGTAGCTTCATGACAAAGACGTTTTATGTGCCATTGCAAAGACAAAATAATGCCGACACATTTTCGACTTGAAGTTCCGTCGTCCCACCGATACGTATCCGCTGCGGTGAACCTATGGGCACGCAGCATTGTTACTTTATCTGGTCGATCGCGTCTTGCGAGCATAGAGTGGGTGTCTAGAATATTTGATGTATATTCTAGGCTCAATAGTTCGAGTCTGCGCGTTCTGACTGATGGCGCAAGCGACAAGTGGCCAACGTGGCCTGCATTTCTCGCCGAAATTCACACACCTGAAAAAAAAAAATGAGACTGGCTGGGCATTTTGGCGCAGCGTGGCCTCATTGTGGTGCAGCGTGGTGCAACAACGGGAATTGTATCAAATTGGCGCAGCTGTTGCACCCCTGCTAAAAGGACTTGCTCTTCAACTGTTGAAGCTTTAGCAGTCCATTTTGGGGGCTCTTAAGTCAGCCATTTGAATCTACTCGGTGACTGCCTCCTAATAAGGGGTTGTGAAAATAACTTTCCTGGAACGTGTATCTACTTTGCCATTATTGAGTAAGACAGGTCTGCAGGTATATGTAAGCTCTGCAGCATTTCAGAGCACTGTGTCACTTTAAGGAGACCGGGCAAGTTCCAGACTTCCATGTATTTTTGACCACAATCGGGTCATTTTTGAGCATGCATTATTGATAGCATACAGATGTTTGTACTAATTTGTTCAGAGTGTTGTATTCTATCGACCAAAACAAGATAGTTTATTTTACAAACAATGGCATTTTTACTCGTGTACTTGGTTTCACAGAATTTTTGTACGATTTTTGTTACATACATGAAAGAAAAATTATTCTAAAGCATCAATTCAGTTCAGTAAACCACCATGTACTGCTTGTGTATGTGCAAAAACGATCAGCATGACATCTTTTGCCTTTTTAAAATTATCATACTGACATAATAAAAAATGGCATTTGAAGAAGATAGCGTCCAATTTAGTAACAGAAATTTTACATTTTTTACAGTGCCAACTTATCTATTTTACTGGGTCTGACTTCGCTAACAGCCTAAGAATTACTAGTCAGATGACTTTTTCTTTTCCCTAAATAAGCTGAAATTCATGCGTTTTGTCAACTTACAAAGAAAAGAAGCTACAAATATACAATTCGTAAAAGGGCTATTTGCTTTCCAATCGCTTTTTTGGGTCGATAAAAATATACGCAGGATAACTAACAATACTGTAATATCTCAAGGAGGTGGCATCCTCTTTCTTTCATGAGAATTAAAGCATGCCGCAACAACTGAGCAACCGCTTCCCACATTCCTGCCATTTCTGCAGTTTTCTTAACGTTGCAGAATCATAGTTAATGCATGCATATTTACTGAAGTGTTTCAGTTTCGTTGGAAACAAGTGTGACTTTACCACCACCTGCTTGATTTTTGATCCAAGACCGAGCAAGTAAGATTCTCTGTCACCATAGTGGGAGTACTGGCTTGGGATTTTATGGTACATGAAAAGTGTAGAAGAATTTATTAATATTAAATTGTGCATACCATTTCGCAAATGACCATGCTGCTCATTGATGTAAACGGCCCTTCTGTCGAACTCATGAGTACAATTCAGAATTTAAAATTCAAATGGTAAAAAATATATTTTGTGTCATTATATTTCATATATGGTTCCATGAGCACGCACAGTTATAATAATGCTGCTTTCCTGTTTATATGAACACCTTGTTTACTCAACAATGTGCATATTAGTTGCTCTGTACAT